TTATTCTTCGTTCAATCTCAGAGATATGTGGACTGTCTGAAGCTATCTTTGTCTCCCAGATTATAGCCTCCAAATGAGGAAAGCAAGGACAAGCAGGATCAAGTTGGCACACCCTCACTCAGCATTAGTGTTCATCTGATGGAGTCACACCCCCTTTGGTTAGATTTGAACTTGCCCTGTCTCTCTCTGGTGTGCTGTATTCTGCAGAACATGATTTATGCTAGGCTAAGGTTTTGTATTCATTTGCTCTGGTTTTGGTCCTAAGTCTTTGGATTTGGGGGAATCTCATTTCAACCTATTGCTGTCCATGCTCTTCAAATGGTTAGATTCAAAAAGAAAATCAAAATGCTTATTTCTACTCTTTTTCAAGGTGTCAATGAAATAACTGGTTTCTCTTTCTGGGCCTATAAGATTAAGTGTGTGTGTGTGTGTGTGTGTGTGTGTGTGTGTGTGTGTGTGTGTGAGTGTGTGCCTGTGTGGGTACACATGCGCAAATGCATGTGTATGTATGCATGGGTGTGTATCTGTGTGTATGTGTCTGTGTACATGTGAATATGCATGTGTAAGCATGTATATATGTGTGCACATATGTGTGAAAGCACATGTGTGTAGGGGAAGCTGTAGCCAGCCCCTAAGTAGACGTGGCTACAGCTTCCCATGTTTCACACAGCATTGTGGAGGTAAATGCACAGGCTGCGGTGTTGGTCCTCACCTTCTCCCTTGTTTAAGAATAGGTCCCTGCTGCTGTTTGATGCTATGTGCACCAGGCTAGCTCGTCTAAGAGCTTCTAAAGATTCCCTTACTTTCTCTTCCCACCTCTTTAAAGGGGTGTGCTGGGATTATAGAGACCTGTGTGGGACAATGGCCACTTCAGAGAATTGTCAAGGACAAGTATTCCATGCGAGTTTGTTCTAGCTCTCAGCCTCACCCTTCTTTATGTCAGCACACTAAGTGTTATTTTCAAAGGGCATTACACTATTAGTAACATAACTGTCTAGCATCGGGCCTTTCTGGGTGCTCTGGGGATTTGAACTCAGGTCATCAGGCTTGTGTGGCAAGCACTTTACCCAAAGAGCTATTGTCCTAACCCTCAGACTATTGACAAATGTGATTTAAACTGGTAAAGCCCATTCTGCTTTAAACATATTTCCAGTTTCCTGTACGAGACCTTAATAGACTTTCTTATGATAAATTTTAAAACCTATGCATAAACTCAAATAATCTGACCTGCTATTATGAAATACTAGGCAAGCATTAGAAGGAGAATCAACCTTCACTGACTATCAGAATGTCCATTTCTGGATGGGTAGGGTTTCCATCTGCTCTAACATCACTCAGTGGAGTTCTCCTGTACATTAAAATTCCATCAGCATCCACCTCTCTGGTCTCAACTCTTAAAATTGTTTGTTTTAAAAAATTGAGCTCCCTCCCTCTCTCTCTCTCTCTCTCTCTCTCTCTCTCTCTCTCCTCTCTCTCTCTCGCTCTCTGTGTGTGTGTGTGTGTGTGTGTGTGTGTGTGTGTGTGTGTGTGTGTGTGTGTGTCAGTTCTGGGGACCAAACCAGTCTCTTGAACATGATAGGTCAGTGCTCCACAACTGAACTATACTCACAGCTCTATGATATATTTACAATCCTACTTATGTGGCTGGTAACTTTCCTTTGTCCTTTCTGGCATATTCTCCCTGAGTCGATTCTGCCTTTTGTGACTAAAGGGACACTGGAAACCTTTGTCTAGTAGTTTTTCAAATCCAGTGGGCACCTAGGTGGTTAAATTTTCTCAGACTAGGAGATATCTAGAGAAAGAGACAATTTCATAAACATCCATGCTTACTGTCTTAATAAATCCACAAGAGTGGACCCACTTCTGATGGAATGCACAGGCCATTGCAATCTCTGCTTCTAATTTTTAGCCACATTTGTTAACAGAACTGTTCAATCTAAGCAGTAGGGCCAACCTTCTTGGTCCTCTGCTAGAGGACCAGGTGGTGCCTTTGTCCCTTGCTGGGTTACTTCCTACTTGTTGGGTTATTAATTTTGTCTACTTGTCCACAACCCCAAGTCACCTCTCCCTGTGTGCCTAATGGTAGACCACTCTGTTTCCACAGCCTGTATTTCTTGTCTGTTTTTCGAATTAATTTGTGGACGGTCTTGACCTCTATCTGCCAGATTCATTAGACATATCAGCTACACTGCTGAACCCTCAAACATAGCAAGGACTAAGTTATCTCCGAGTATTCCTGTATTGAAAATAAATAATTAGGTAGAAATTTAAAGTTTTCCCCAGTTAGAAAGTAGTAAGTTTGGACAGATGTTAGTCCTTATTCTGTTAGAAAGAACAAAGCTACTATCAGTATTAATTTGTAATGTGGTTTTACTTTCTAACATTACAATAACTTTTTTAGATGAGTGTGTGTGTTTTCATTGTTTTTCCAAAGCAGTTGAGACATGTAAACAAACAGACACTTTGACTTGCATTTCCCACTGTGGGAGGCAGGGTCAGCATGCCTTTGACCTGGCACCAGTCAGAAGGTGGGAAGGTGTTAATTGCCAAGAGTTTATGGGCTGGTGCTAGTATCTTAGCTGGGAGCAAAAGTGGGACAATGGCCACTCCAGAGAATGGGCAAGGACAAGTATTCCAGGAAAGTTTGTTTTTAGCTCTGAGCCTCACCCTTCTTTGTTAGCACACTGAGTGCTATTTTCAAAGGGCATTGCTCTGTTACTAACATAGCTGTCTAGCATCTCTATTAGCTGCATAATTAAAGCACAAATACTTCTTGGCATTGTGATTCAGTGGAAGTACTTGGTTAATATGTTAATTCATCTTTTAAATCTATTATAGCCACACCACAGTCAGCACTTTTGAGGTTTGGTGAACACAGCTGGATTTTGAGAACATTCCCAGCAGGGCTGAGAAACTAATTGCCCACACTGTTTATTTAAATTATTTTGTAAAAATATAATTGCCCAAAGTATTTACTTAAATTATTTTTGTAACTTCCCAGTTTTTACATATATACTGAGTGTTTTTTTTTTTTTCAAGCAACAATTTTGAGCTTGGAAGTTGATCTTTTCACATTAATTACTACTGTATCTTGTCAGATTTTCCTGATAGATTCCATGCTGGGTGTTCTGTTTAGGATTTGATTCAGCGCAGTCAAGGAAAGCTTAATGATACAATGAAATCTTTTTTTTTTTTTTTTAATGTGGTCAGTATCTGGAAAAAAATCTCCAGCATGCTTTTAAACTAATAAGGACTTTGTATATTTAAAAATATCTTAGAAGCCACATGCTTTGGATGTTATTAACTAAAGCTTTTTAATGAAACACCACCGTTCTCACGAGCCTGAACGCCTGTGGGAGGACAGAAGCACAGGATTGAGGGGCTCCCAGGACCAGGCTCCTGACTGGTTACCTTACCTGCCTGGCCAGTTGCTTGGGACCACATCTGGGGATGGAGAATATGTGAGGAAATCATTGTCAGAGAGGAAAAGAAAGCAGAGCTTAACTTATCAATGGAGATCCCCATTAGTGTTTGTTTCTGATTATATTTCTGAGGGAAAAATAATTCAAACACGTCTAAGTAATTAATTAGTTGCATGTACAGACTGTAATCTAAAGTACTGTCAGTGTTTGGGGTAGCAGATCCTTCCCGGTCGTTCATGTTCTCAGACTGCAGGGCCATACAGTTTTGTACACTGGCCGTAAGAACTGACTTTATCAAGAGTATGTTTTTCAGGCTTTACAATGATAATGGATGGAGAATCAAATCTGCAGCCAAAGTTTTTAAGGAAATAAAATGTAACTTAGCAGGGAATTATTTCTCAGCTGCCTCCCCCGTCCCCAGTCTCTGGAGCTGTTGATGCCAGTTTTTCAGACTCTTAACTAGTAGTAAAATTTAGAATTAGATAGACCATGAAATTTTTTAAATTTTAGAATGAAGAGAACACAAAAATAACCTTACTATGCTAAATTTAATGCTCTGGTATGATGTTCCAATTTAGTTTGGCAAGATATTTCCTTCAGGATATTATGAGATTGGCATTTATTAAAAAAGAAAAAGAAGCTAGGACAAGAGAAAAATGTTTAAATGATAGAGACAAACAAAAATCACTTTGGGTTTCTGGCTGGAGAAGTCTCCATGGCAGAGAGGTTGCTTAGTGGTCAAGGTTCCTAAGGTTCTGCCTGAGCATATCTCTCCTCTCTCTCTCTCTCTCTCTCTCTCTCTCTCTCTCTCTCTCTCTCTCTCTCTCTCTCTCACACACACACACACACACACACACACACACACACACACACACACACTCAAATATTGATTTGGAATTTAGTATTTTACAAGGGGTGAATACCATGATGTACACATAAAGAAGTATTTTCAAAAACAAAATTATTCTAGCATTGTTCTGTATTATGTCTGTGATGATTCCAGTGATTTCTGTAGCCTTTGCTATTTGAGCATGTCCAATTATTTGAGGAAAAGACACTTGAAGGTTTTGAAGGATGCTGAGGAGAGGCAAGATCATACATCACTACTCATTTCTCTTTCCTCCGCCCCTCTGCCCTTCTCCTGGAGTCTTGAGTATCCAGTTCTCTGATCTGTACATTGTAGGCAATCTTTATATTGGGTTTGATATTTAAAAGAATATCAGGTACTTGGGCCTCCGTGTTTAGTTCGGGGAGAGGCTGTTTTAACACCGAGAGCTGAATCGACTCGTGGTGAGTACCAAGTCCTGAACCACTAGTTCTGAATGTGTGCATCTTACCACACAATGCTCCCTACCACAGTGCCACGACACAGCAGATGGGGGAATATGGAATAAATGTGGCACCCAGAATTCCCCTTGTGTCCCGGCTGTGCTCTGCAGATGAACAGGTGCACATTCTGTTTAGTTTAGGCTTGAACATTTAAAGTTAGCAAATGTGCTTATATTTCTGTTAAGTGGTAAGTAGCAATACAGTTTTTACAAGAAAAATTCTGACTTGCTTTTCCTTGGTTTATGAAAGCTGAAAATAGAAAAATTTTTCATGAACAAGAGGTTGAAAAATGCCTGGTGGCCCTCCTGGGGTCTGATAGTGATGGAACCAAGATTGCTGCTTCCCAAGCTATTTCAGCCATGAGTGAGAACTCCAGCAGCAAAGACTTTTTCAACACCCAGGGTGAGTAAATCAGGGAGCCGAGCACCATTTTTGAAAGCTACTGCTCTCCGGGCTGTGTGGAAGGGTTTGGACTCAGGGTTTACACTCGTTTCTCCACAGGGATTCCACAGATAGTTCAGTTGCTCAGAAGTGACAATGAGGAGGTGAGGGAGGCAGCTGCCCTGGCCCTGGCCAACCTGACCACCAGCAGCTCTGCAAATGCCAAGTAAGTGCAGGGATGTCACTGGTCCAGGGCACCCTGACTATGACATTTGGCTTTTAAGTTGATTCATAGTTTTTTAGGTAATCTGTCTTTTGTTATTCTTCAGGGTCTCTTGTGAAAGTAGTTACCTGATTGCCCTATTTCCCCCCAAAATTTGAGACTATTGGATTTTGTTGAGAAACTTCAAACCATTATACCCAGTTGGCAACTAAGACTTTGTGTGTGTGTACCTGTTCCTCTGTGGTGTGTGTGTGTGTGTGTGTGTGTGTGTGTGTGTGTGTGCATGCTCGTGTATACAGATGCATAGAGTCCAGGTATCATTATCACATTCACTTTGTTTTACTCAATTTGTACTATTTTATGTGTACTGGTATCTTGTCTGTTTGTATATCTGTGCACCATGTGAATACCCAGTGCACACAGAGGCCAGAAGAGGAAATCAGATCCCCTGGAACTGGAGTTATAGATACTTGTGAACAGCCATGTAGGTGCTGAAAATCAAGCCTGGATCCTTTGAAAGAACAGCCAGTGTTCTTAACCACTGTGCCATCTCTCAAGTCCCAGTGCCCCCCCCTCCTTTTAGACAGTCTCCCTCTGAGCCTGAAGCTCACCAATTCGGCAAGCCTAGCAAGCCAGTGAGCTCCAGGTCATCCTTGTTCCTTTTCCCCATCACTGGGATTACAGGTGTGTGCAGCCATGCCTGGCACTTTCCATAGGCGATAGGATTCAGACTCAGAACCTCATACTCCTTCAGTAAGTACTGTAGCCCCTCTGGATAACTCATACAATTTTTACTTCCTATGCAAATGAAAGTAAGCCATGATAGAGACATTCTTGACAACATTACTTAAAATGATAAATTTTAAAGAGTTTAAAGATCCATTTTGAAAGGATGTAAACATGAGACAACAGGAGCATTTTAAAAGTGAACTAAAGGCTATGAACATGAAAGAAGGCAGGGTGTGTGTGTGTGTGTGTGTGTGTGTGTGTGTGTGTGTATGGTGATTTAGGAACACCATGGAATGTGTTTTGTAATCATTTTTAAAAACTCATTTTCTAAGTAGTCCTTCACTAATGAAATGAAGGCTCTGGGGTCTTAGCTGAATTTCCAGGGCTCACCCATGTGTAAATAGCTAAGTCGGAAACTGAACCCACTCTGTCTGACTCCAAAGGCCAGGTACCTTCCTCCATAGAAGGTAACACAGCCTTGCAAGATGGAAATTTCCTGAACTCTGCTTTCATAAATAAGATAATCCTTTCCCTCCATGTATCTTACTTCGTATGCAAACTGACCATCATTTCTTATCCGTATGTGTGTGTGTGTGTGTGTGTGTGTGTGTGAGAGAGAGAGAGAGAGAGAGAGAGAGAGAGAGAGAGAGATTCTGGCTAAGATCCCCCTTTCTAACTTGAAGCATATGCCCCTCTTCCCCTTGCATAGACTTCTTGGCCTTTCTTCCCCTTTCTCTACTCCCATGCAAGCATTTTAGAAGTTGTTAGCTGAATGACTAAAACCTAACTATGCCCTTCGAAAGCCCAACAAAACAAAGGGTGTTCCTCTGTCAGAGGCAGTCGGAATTGCTTCCCAAGCCAGGGTCATCACCATCCCCACCAAAGTGCTGGCTCTTTTGGATGCCTCTCACATGGTGAGCACTGATTTGAAGACAGCAGCCCTACCATCTCAGAAAGTTTTATCAACAACATTAAAATCTCTCTGTTGTCCACTTGGATTTGCATATTATTTAATATACTCTTAACAGGCCTTTGGAGAGTACATATGCATGCCTTGATATGAGTCTGATCTCTATGATTTCACAGCTCTGTATAAACCTGAAGCAGTTACAAGGCAGCTAGTGCACTAAAGGGCTTGTCTACTACAACCCTCTTCCTCTGTGTAATTTAAGCTAAGGCCAGATTTTCTCAGGAGTGCCCTCCATTCCTTCAACCTTTTCTCACTTGTATTTGGTAAGGGGTTATTGGTGTTCTTTGAGAGATATCTGTATAGTTTTACGTTTGTTTTTGTTGTTTAATTAAGCTAAAAATATTTTTGAAAGCAAACATTTTTTAAAATTGATTTATTTACCATTATAAGTCTATGAGTGTTTTGCCTGCACATATGTGTGCATAGCCACATTCATGACTGGTACCCTCAAAAGAGGGCTTTGGACCCCTAAGATTGGAGTTGTTGGTGGCTGTGAGATACTGTGTGGGTGCTGGGAACCATACCATGGTCCTCTGCAAGAGTAACTAGTGTTTTAACTGCTGACCAACTCCCCAGCCCTAAAGTCAATATTTTTTTAGGGTGTGTCAGTATTGGTATATTTATGCCAGATGTTGAAAACTGGAGTCAGAAAAGATCCCATAGTCAACTAAAAGCAGAGGAGCCAGCCTGGCCAAAGTGGAGATCCTTCTAGAATGCTAATAACTCAACAATTATAAAGTCAAATCCAGCAGAAGTGACAGCAAATGTGATTGATTATTTTTAATAGAAAATGTTTTCTCCTTTGACTGTATTTAAACACCAGTTAGCACAAACCTGGCTTTTCTGGGGTCCACAGAATTTCCTTTTGGAAGCAAGCTATATCACCAAGACTCTCCCAGCATGAGCCATCTACAGCTGGGGTGGCTGCATTTGTGTTTTTTTGATTGCTTTCTGGAGCTCACCGAGAAGGAAAGAGGCAAAGCCAGAGCTGACTCCAGGTGCATTTGAGAGCTGTAGGAACACCTACACATTTCTAACCTAATTTGTAACAAGGCACTGTAATCACCACAGATTCTGTGGGTATGTCTTGAGTTGTCCTGTCTCCTATAGTCACATCCTGGTGTGCCTAAAATGAATTTCTAATTCTTTTTTAAAATAATTAAAATAAAATAAGTCACTTTGGTCAGATAACCACACCCACTGTGGGTTCACATGTCTGCACATATCATATCCAGAGGATAGTATTTCATACCCCCTTTCCCATTCTCCAGCTCTTATATACTTTCTGTGCCTTCTTATGAGATGTTCCTTGAGTCTTGGGTGGGGTAGCTATCTCATCTAGGGCTGAGCACTCACAGTTATTTGCTCTCATATGTGGGGCATCTTCTGGAGTTAGGAGCTTATTATGCAACCTGAGTGATATATGGGTAAAACAAAAGTATCAACTAAACTAAACCAAGCCAAACCAGAAAAGGAAAAGAGGGAGAAGAAGGAGAAGAGGATGGAGAAGGAGAAAGAGGAAGAGGAGGAGGAGGAAGAGGGGGAGGAGGAGAAGAAGAAGAAAAGAAAAAGAAGAAGAGGAAAAGGAGGAGAAGGAGGAGGAGGAGGAGGAGGAGGAGGAGGAGGAGGAGATAGCCAGGAAAACTATCCATTGAGGTGACCATTTTTTGCAAAAGTGACAAATGCATTTTCATTCAAATTTTTATGACCTAAAAATGGAATTTTACAACCTATCTAAAAATCAATTTCTCATCTAATATACCAGATGTCAGGCTACTGTGTTTCTTGTTTCTCACATGAAAACACATTCACCAGTAACAACGATGTGTAGATGGGAGACTTTCTCAGCAGCATTAGCAAAGAAATACCAAGCCCATCCAGGCCCTTTTGTGGAAGGTTTTCAGGGTTAGTGTTTTAATCAGCACCGGGGTGCTATCTGTTAAGTGGTCTCTATGAATGTGGCTTCATGGACACTTAAACTGGACCTTTCATGCTTTTATGTCTTCAGTTTGTAACAAGTTTGAATGAAGACTCTAAACTGCTTCCTTACTCCCCTGTATACCCTGCTACTGAGGCCATGTGGGGAAGGGGCTAGAGGGAGGGCAGGGAAGGTGAGAGCCTTCACTGAGTGCATATTGTGGGGCAATGGTCTCTGGGGGGGGGGGTTCCAAGGTTTCTCTGGACCTTTTGTTGAAGACTGCATTCATTCACCTTCAGTCTCTGCATGGACTGACTCCATAACTTCCTCCCTGCCAAAATCCCCTTGAGGTCCCTGCCATTCTGTGAATCAGAAGCCTGGGTGCCAGGTAACTAACCTTCTCCAATTTTATATGAAAGCCCTAAAGGAGGTTGTGCTTCTCGAGTATGTGCTCCAACTTCTCAGTGGTCCTTTCTAGCCTACCTGCCAAGAGCTAAATGAGACTGTAGCTTACTTCACTAACTGGCTTACAAATTAACATTGTCGCAGAAGACAACCAGGCGTAAAATAGGCCATAAAATATGTTCTGGAAGTCCTTTCCAGTTCCAGAAGTATTTTGCCAGGAGCATCTTGAACTGACAGTCCTCTTGACTAGAATGTTTTTCTAGAAAGCCAAGTCACCGTTCAGATCACCTTGGGAAAGCAGTCTATCTGCTATTGCCACAGTGTTGCCTGCCCGAATTAGCTTACTGTCTCCCATCTTGTGTGGCTAAACTCTTAGCTACATTGCTATTTATAGTCTGTCTCCCACTACCACCAGGTCTGTGGAGGGAGCAGATTTTCTCTTTATATGTTTATCTAGAACAACACTGTCCCACAGATAAATAGGGGTGGGAGAGGAGAGGAGATGAGAGATGAGAGAGAGAGAAAGAGAGAGAGAGAGAGAGAGAGAGAGAGAGAGAGAGAGAGAGAGG